ATTGTTAACCGCATGGCATCTCTAACTCACCCTGTGAGGGCACAGTGGAAGGAACCACCAAGGGAGGAGAAGTCGGGGCAAGATGAAAGGATGTTTTTATCCTGGCCTCCCCTCTTGCAACACTGTGCTGGGTTTCAAACACATTTCAAACTGTCGGGGAAGAGAAAAAGGCAATGAACTTGAAGGCTATGTCCACACTACAGGGTTTTTGCGCAGAAAGGCATGTGTGGATGCTCCAGAGGGGTTTCTTGCGCAAGAGTGTCCATGCAGTATGGACGGTCTCTTGTGCAAAAGCACATCACTTTTGCGATGCACTTTGAGGTCCGACACGCTTTTGAGCAAGAAGTTTTTGCGCAAGATCTCTTTCACAAAAGGCTTCTTGCGCAACAACCCTGCAGTGTAGACGAAGCTGAATTGTATACTGCCAGTCTTCTTTTATTTTCCTGCATATTCAAGTGGTAGGGGAAGGGGAAACTGTGGCTTGGGACATCATTTTGGTGGTGGGTTGGAATACATTTTTAAAAAGAGAGGTTTTAAAAGGAGAATGCTAAGCAGATGGAGAAGTGACATGCCATTTATCCAGATTTTGTAAAGTAATGAGCTAGGTTCCTCGGTGATCAATCTCTCCCCTTCAATTAACTGCAATAAATTTCTCATAAAATATTCTAAACAATGCTGGACTTTCCTCATGTCGTTCATTATTTATGGGCCATGTTTATTACACTTGTCCTTAAAGCAACTTTATCTATTGTGTCTTATTTCTCAGCCAGGAAAACAAGTTGAAGAGTTACCTCCACTGAATGTTAGCTCCGCTACCTTTCTTGTAACACACACACATACTGCCCCTTAGAGGTGATGTCCTGCCATGACCGCTGGAAAAATCAGAGCTATTAAGACATTCTTTGATTAGAATGTGTTTATGCCATTTTGACCGTTGGGGGTGGGGGTGAGGGGTACTAAACCTAGGATCTATGCAGTACTTATGAGGGTTCACATTGTTCACATCAGATATAGAATGCCATTATGAATTTCAACAGAGGAGTTCCACATTTACAGCAGTGTATCCAATGTGCCGTAGGTTTGTTTCCTGAAAGTGCGGTCATGTCAAGATTTAAGAATCACAGTTATAACGGCAACGGATTTCCAGGTGCCACCAGACATCGCCACAGTGGGACTACAAGAAATCCCATTTTGACTGGAGTTGAATTGAGTTGTTGCCATCCTCTTTAACAAATGAGCATGGAAATGATGAGAAAGGAAACAGCAGGCTAACGCTATTACTTCATCAACTGCTATAACAACCAACAAGCCCATTACTACTCGACTTTGCACCTCACTGGGGGCTCTGTCTCCGCAAAACGATGGGGCATCCTCATGGAATGTAAGACAATGACAACCCAGCCAGGTCTCAGCCACCCCCAGGGAGGTGATCTCATATCTAGCTCATCTCTGTCTTGTATCCTGATGGAATATAACCCTCCCTCCCTGTCTCATTCTTTTCATCAGCCAGCTGTCTCAGACCTCACAGGCTAGAAGCAGTACCCGACAGACAGAGGGAAAGTGTAATCGAGGACCAGAAAAACACTTTCTCACGTACGGCTGTCTGATCTGACAATTTCCTTAGTGAAGGCTTTACATTAAACAAACCACTGTGTGCATTTCCAAGTGGGGAGTGAGCAGGGAGCTGTATGAGAGGCTAAGCTGCCATGTAAACATACTGGGAACTGAGACATTGGATTTAAAGAGAGAAGAGCTAGGAGTACAGAGGAACGTCTGGACTGAAAAAAATTGTGAGCTGTTCATTCAACTAGAACGGGTGTAACATTAAGTCACATGATAGACGTTGAGCTCCCTGCTTGGCCTTCTGCTCTCATGCCAGCAAAGGCTGGGAGTGCTGTAGAATACGTGAATCTGAGGCCACGAATTGCAGAGAATAAATAATTCAACATTTCCAGGGTTTTTTAAAATCTATTAGTCATCCCAGAGCATTGGCCAAATTTCTGTAAATAATTGGAGCCCTGTAGTTTAATTCTGAGCAGCTCTGTGTAAATACTGGATTTTCCAGATACAAAAAGGTGGATTGGGCCTGTGGATGGGTCTGCTCACTGATGAGGTAACAGAATCAGGTTGTGGTGATTGGAAATGTAACAATTGATATCCCCTCTCTGTTTAGAAAAATGTGACTGAATATGCATGGAAATGTTTCTACAGTATCGGCTCTGGGAATAAGTATAGACCGAGGGGAGGAGGGGCTGCTCCTACTGCAGCCTTCCTCTTGCTTCTTCAGGACTAGAGCAGTGAACTTTGCAGGCCTGAAAATGGCAAGGGGTGAAGACAATGGGGTGCAAGTGATATGAAGAAAAAAGAAGCTCTCTCTCTGCCAGGAACACAGCCTCACCAGCAAATCATAGGAAGATATGATCAGCTACGAAATAACACTGGGCCAGGTCTCCAGCTCTGGCTGCCATAAGGGGTGTGTGGCTGTGTGTGTGTGTGGGGGGGGGGAATAGGAGCTCTTATGCTATTTATGCTACCAGAGGATCCTACTACACTTGACTGATCCACCGTTGGCCAACTACAGTGCGACATGGCTCCAGAATAGGGGGAATCCAGGCAATTAGGTCCAGTAGTTCAGCTCTAGCCATGAAACAGGCTTCTGTACTCTGCTGGTCTGGTAACATGGATTAATATTTGTACTGGGAGGATGCTGGGACCATTTATTCCCCTCCCATCTAATCTTCCAGTCCTGGGCCAGTGTCAGGATACAAGGGTAACACACCCTGGGAGAAGTTATGGAATGTGAAGGGTGTATGTACGGGTATGTCTACACTACAGCATTATTTCAAAATACCTTATTTCGGAATAACACGTCTAGACACAAAATGCATTTTGAAATAGCATTTTGCTAGTTCGAAATAGCGCGTCCACACTGATTAGATGCTGAATCGCATTTAAGGCCGGCTGGAACCGGTTCTGGCAGGGCATCAGGTCAGGAGTTACCTTGTTTGGCTGCTGCCTGAGGCTATCTGAGAACTGTGCTTAAAAGGACCCCTCCCCCCAGACAGCCAGTTCTAAGATTTCCCTGCTTGCTTGCCTATCTCGCTGAGGGACAGCAAAGCATTTTTGTCTCTGCGTGCTCTGGTTGCCCTCACTCGGGACACCACAGCACTCTGCAACATGGAGCAAGAGCTGCCCCTGGGCACTCTGGTGCTTTTCCTGGATGTGTTGCTGCGAGCCTGGCAGCACGTTCTGCAGGCAGTAACAGTCTCCCTGGTGTGCCCCACTGGGGGCTTGTGCCTCATTCCTCCCTCACATCCGTCCACTTACCCCTCCTGAACCCCCCTTCCTGCTGTACAATAAAGTCACGTGTTCATTACAACAAAGCCTCTTTATTGAACAAAACTCAGCTGGGGGGGGGGGAATGAAACTGAGGTGAGATTGGGGAAAGAAAGTGGGAGAGGGGAGGATGGAGGGTGGGAGAGGGAAGGGGAGAAACCCAGGAGGGAGCTGGCAAGGGGAGGAAGGGGGAGGAGAAGCTCAGGGATCAGGGTTGGGGGTCTCGCCAGCCCAACTGTCTCCCAGCACTGCAGGTGAGGGAGCCTCAGTGTCCCTGGGGGTGTGGGGAGGGTGGGGAGGAAGGAGCAGGAGGGGGAGAAGGAGTGGGACACTGCCACACTCCCTCCAGGCTCCTGCAACTCCTGGCCTCCTCCTGCTCCGTGCCCTGCTCAGGGCCCTCTGCCCCAGGGTCAATGACCACTTGGGGGGCACGGACCATCCTGCCCCCCAGGATGCAGTCCACGGCATCAAAATAGGGGCAGGGGGCTGGGTCTACCCCTAGTTGGGAGCTGCCCCCTGTGGCCCTGGCATACACCTGCCGCAGCTCCTTTATTTTCATGTGAACCTGCTCCTGGGTTCACATGTGGCCTTTGGTGGCCAGGCTGGCAGCCATCAGCCTGTAGACGGTTGTGTTCCTCCATTTAGTGCGGAGATCATGGACATTGGAGGCAACCCCCCAAACCTGAATTAGGTCCATGATCTCTGCACTGGACAAGGCAGGTGCCTGTCTTTTCCAGCTCCTGGCAGGCTCCTGGGAGCTCGCAGACTGGCCCTGGGGAGCAGGGGAGGGGTGGCTGGCACTGGCTGCCTGGCTCATGCTGGGGCCACTGGGTCAGGTGCAGTGACTGCTAGATCTGGACTGGCAGGCTTGGAGCTGGAACAGGCACTGTGGCCAGAGTCTACCCCTTTAAGGGCTCTGGGGATGGGGGGAGGGAGAGGAGTTTTCTTGGTTGTGCCCAGAGTGGCCACCAGGGCACCCTGGGAAGGGCTGGAGGCCCCCTATTTCGATATAAGTGTCTACACAGCGCTTATTTCAAAATAACAATTTCGAAACTGGTGCTATCCCTCATGGGATGAGATTTACCAATTTTGAAATAAGCCCTCCGCTATTTCGATTTAATTTCCAAATAGCGGTTTGGCTGTGTAGATGCTGGTAAAGTTATTTAGAAATAACAGCTGTTATTTCGAATTAACTTTGCCGTGTAGACATATCCTATGTGGGGTGAGGGTTGTTTTTAAAACACAGAGGAGCCTTAGTGTAAAATGCTCTGCCTCACAGAGCGGCTTGTTCGATAATACTGTAATTAGCAATAGGTTGTGGGAGATTGTAGCTCTTCTTGCAATTAACCCTTGAGAGCCCCTGAGGTCAGTGCAGAGTTCATCCCCACCAGGCCCTGCTCCCCTGAGGAAGGAATTTCCACTGTGCAGGGAGCAGACTGTGGCATTCTGGTTTGCTCAGGATTTCCTGAGCCTGCAGCAGCGCATGCCAACTTTTTCCAGAACAACGCCCTGTGTATTGGTAGTGAAAGACTCTGAAGGTCCCCCCTTCCCCCGCACTTCCCCTGCTTTCTTTAAAACTCGCTTTCTTCCTATGAAGTGATTAATGTATAGCATTAGGAACTGCCCCCCCCACACACATACACACACATGCACATCCTACCCACCAGTCGTCAGAGGAGGGTGAGTGGACTGATGTCATGTGAATCACCCCAGGCTTCCGCATTTTGAATCTGAGAAATGGCTCCTCAAACTGGGCAGTGTGGTGGGAACGCTTCCTGATTCATGGCCCTAGCTGGGCCTCCGCACAGCAAAGATCCATTGGCTGGAGGACAGGTCATTTGCATCTGAGCCACCTCTCCTCAAAGAGAACACCCGGCTCTCATTTGACACTGCGGTTTATGCCTGTGCGGGCTCGCTCTCCAATAAAGCGTTTGTGAGGTCTTCTAACAGTGTCTTTACCTCAAAGAAAGAGTCCCATAGAGTTTCCCTCTGGGCACAGGACGGCTGCATTAATCTCATTCATCCTCCTCTAGCTATACCATTAATGAAGTGTTTTAACTGTGGATATCTTTTCCTTTTCCTAGTTGCTATGTCCCAGATGTATTACAGGGCACTGCCTTGATCCAAAACCTCTGCCATCGTGTTTGGCTCGTGTCTGACCATCACATCCTGGTCGGGAAGTGTTCTGTACCAGTTCCTTTTTATCATTCTTTCAGTGAAGTTGGGGGAGTTTCCTCAACAGGAGTAGGATCAGGTGCAATCCAGATTCAATAGCGTCTTTTTAACAGATTAGAGGCTTTCCTGGTTAGGAAATAGAAATGCATTAGTGCGGTCATAAAGAGGAATATTCATATTAGAATGGGTTTGACCCAACTCCCATATCCTGAAAATTATGGAGGGCTCTAAAACTGGACATGGGTCCAAAACTGTGTCGTTTAAATCCATCTCTTAATTAGGTGTCTGTAATTTTTGAGATCCTGACACTGGGCTGTTGGGTTAGACTGTCTTTTCCTGGCAGGGGTGGTCCAGAGTTTTACCATTGGATGTACTCTCAGACATCCCTTTCATGGCATTGGAGCGGCAGCCGGCTGCACTGGGACACTCCTGTGAACATATCAAACTTTGCCTTGGGAAGA